TATATCATCTTTTAAGAAATATAGATGTTTTAAATCATTTATTTAAAAGCATACATTCTCCTGAGGAGAAAATTTAAAGTATCACTATTCTACAATATTATTTGATACAAGAGGGAAATTCAGTGTTTGAAATGTACGCTGAAAAGAAATGATTCCAGGTTTAAAAAGAAGTAATGCTCTTAGGAAGCTTAATGTTATAAATGTTATAAAATAGACTTTTGCTAGTCAATTTCAGGTGTTTTAAAAAAATTTCTATGCTTGCATTATTATCTCAACTCTAACTTTATATCTGGACTAAGTTTAGATACAAAAAATAAAAATGAAGCGGTAGATTATGCTGCTTGCTGTTTGTAATTTAACACCAAAATTTTAATAGTATGCAATCTTCAGGGGTTGATAGTCCAGTAAAAAGAACTTGAAGCAATAGTTTTCATAGAACTTTAACTAAGATAAAGTATTAATTGTCTATGCCAAAGAGGGTGAGCGATGATAGAAATTACAAAGAGCCTAGGGCTTCCCTGAGACCCAGCTTGGTGCTACCACTGTTATGAGAAAATTAAAAATAAATGAACAATAGTTTCCAACTCTAAAACATATTATATGCAGTACATACTTTAACCTAGTTTACAATTTATATTTATTATGCCCATTGAACCCACAAAAGCAGTGTTTAATTTTACAGTTTAAAGTCACACATAGGGAAATGCTTTACAAAATAGGATATTGTTCCTCAATGAAAAATATTACAGTATAGGTCCCAAACGGCTCAGTTCAAGTCTTTTACCTGAATAACAGAGCTGTTGTGGAATGCAGGCTACAAGACACAGTAATGTTTTAAATACTTGATTAAGATTTGAAGGTTGCCAAAGCTGAGAGACATTTTAAACAAGACCCGTCTTAGTTTTCCAAGATTTTTGGTTTTTCAACTGCATTATATACCATTGCTTCTGGAAAATTGAGGGTAATAAGCAGCTTACATTTTACATCTTATATACAGTATGTAAATCTTCAATGATTTTCTCTACCATCAAAGCACATTTCAAGGTTTAAAAATCTCAGTTATACCTACTTAGGTTTATTACTTTACTCACAGACTCTAATATAGAAACCGAATATTTATGCCATTGCTTCTATCAAATGCAACATGTTTCTTCAGTCTATTTAGTTATCCACAAAGTCTATTTACAAAGCATATGTATGATTTCCTCTGACTAATAGGTCATACAAATACGTAAGTAGTGTTTTTCAACTCCTAACTGTAGCAAGATGAACCATCAATGTTTATATTGTGCCTGAGTGCGTAATGCAAAAATATCATCCAGAGACTATATATTTTTAAATCAAAAGTCTAGCTTTACAAAGTCACACACAGTATGGTCTTCTATTGTAAATATACTCTCAGTATAGGTAGACATGTTTCTAATATAGTATGAGTTGTTAAAGAAAAGGCTGAGATATAGTCACCAAGTGTTTACTAATAACATAAACTATTGCAAAGTTTGAAAACAATGATCAGGCCAAATATACATGAAAGTTTGAATGGAATGCTGAGGACTTAGTGAATGCTGAAATGTGACTCATGTAAAAGTCTGCTACTCCGGCCTGATGCTCCTCAAGTTTCAATGACCCCTTAAATGTCCTCAGATGCACATGCAGTTTATGTCACTGACCACTGTTGGTCAAAACCATCATTGGATGTGCTCATTTTTCGAATTTGGAGTATCCAGTTGTGCCCTACCCTGACACAAAGCTTAGAGGTCTTTCCTGCAAACTGTAAAATCATGTAAAAAAAAATAGGATCTCAGAAATACCATATTTGACAATTGGTCACAAAAGATGTTAGCACCTCAATAAAAATTAGAATTGTTCACTGGATATGCCAAAGGAAAGTGGAAAAAAAATGAAAAGGCATGCCCTGTTTTTCATTTGTTTGTTTTTTCCTACCAATCACAGTTCTCCTCACAGTGTTAGACTTTTAGGTCACTCTGATGTGGCAGTACCTTATAGGATGAGGGGCCAGTACTCGTTTTTTTCATTTGACCTTTGTAGTCCACATGGTCCAGTTAGTTGAAGCCACAGAATAAAGACCAGAGAGAGCAAAATTATTGCTAAAGTGCAACTATATTAGTAGAATGCAATTAACAGGGCTAATGAATGTGTATGCCAATGTCTTATTTTTTTTCAAAACCAACATCATCTAACAACATATTCTTTCAGTTTTCCCATAAAACCTGCATTGAGAATGATATCATGGCCCCAGGCAGGTATTTACCAGATTGAATGTTTTGCTGATCTGAACACCACCTGTGTTCCAATTTTTTGGCTAATACATGGTTTTGTATTTCAGTATGTTCTCATACATTAAAGAAGTGAAACACACTTATACGTTATAGAGTTTATATGCATCATGATAATATAATTTGAGAAATTATCTCTATAGATTATGCCAACAAAGCATTCTTAGGAAGATATTTTTCAATGTCCTAGCCAGTTAAATTGATCTATCTGTTTGATAATCTAAAACTGTAGATTGTTGGAAAATGAGAAAAATAATAGGGAAAACATACAAGTTCCTTTTCTGTGTGTCTCAATGATACATTATCTTGAATTTGGTTCTATTAAAGCTTTAGATGACCATTTCTGTACACATGGCTATTTCATTTATTTAGTAGTTTTGAAATGTTAGCAAATATATTGTATTTGTAGAGCATCATTTCATTATAAAGAGATTATTAATATTCACCAATCATGCCAATGAGATTATACACTCTGCCACAGACTACTAGAAAAAATTCGATCATTATTAAATTCAATGTTATTTTACAGTGTGAACTCTAAGTAATAGCACAAGTTCTGGACTTTGAATCTGGCTGCTGTCCTCACCCGAACCATTACAATGACCTTGTTAACAAGGAAGGAATCAATGGGGAAGTATCACAACCAGAGATTGGCTGCGTGTCCAAGGGTGCTTTGTCTTATTGCCAGGATCAGACTGTGAAATCACAGAGGCAAGCTGATGTCATCAGAGGCAACTCTGCCTATTTCAAGTCCTAGAATCACCCCAGGGGATTCAACAGTAGTAGAAAAACATCACATTCTCTTAATGGACACCCCTTATTTGTGGAAACATTATGACTATTAACATTTGTCATACAAACCCAATTTATTTGTGCTCATCTGTAGAATCCTACAGACACTACAGACTAAATGATATTAATTTTAGGAGGTGTTTCTAAACAGACAAAGACAACGTTTGGTTTTATTATCATTTGTATCCCTCAGAAGTTGTGTGTACACAACTTTCATCTAATGCATCAACGTCAACTTGTCCACGTTTCTCGATGAAGTGAAAGAATCTGATTCTTGGCTGTGTCTTAATGCCTGTAGGAAGCTTCTAGGCTATTTGTGTACCCAAATTTAAAACTTGCACCTTGTTTCATTGAATAAGTGTTTTTCTTATTTGTGACTTGGACAAATTAGTGTTAATGTGATGTAAAAGACCTATTATCATAGGTACAAGTAATGAACACTATTAGTTGTGAAAGATTAAAATTTCCTTGGAAAGAAAAATGATAGTATCAGAATAAGAATACATGAGGAATATATACATATACACCTGTTTCACACAGAAAGCTTTCTGTAAAAAAATACAAAAGCAACCAGTGCTGTATATTATGTAAACTCACAAAGTGTAAAAGTGTACTTTATACACAAACATGAAGCATAAATTAAAAAGTAGGACAACAGCAAAACATTTTAAATATAGAAAAATTTGCACATATTTTTGTTAAATAAGAATAAATAATTTTATCAACAAATTCACATACCAGTTGCAAAAACAATAAATTACTTTTTTTCAGTGCTGCAACTTTTTTTTGTTTGTGATTTATCCCTTAATTCCTAGTTTAGTGGGATAAAACTGTTTCCACAGGAAGGCAAAGAAAGATAAATTTATTGAATAAATTATAACAATGCCCTTATATTTCTAAACAGCAAGGCAGGGCTTAATTTAAATTTTTCTGATCTAGAAGAAATAAATGTCATTTTCTTCTGACTCCCTTTGTACTTAATAAAACTTATTATGGAGTGCTTAGTTATGTCAGTGAGATTAGATTCTTACAAACCTGAGCATTTTCAGACAAATTCTCTTTTTTTCTAAAAAAAGAAATAGCCCCTAGCATCCTGAATTCTAGACATCTTTAAAAATTCAAGATGCAACAATAGAAAGGTGAAAGACAGTACGAAGTCAAAACTGGACTGACTTAGATTGAGTTGTATAGAATCTTCCCTTTGTTCATAATTCTTGGTATCTATTGGACACTCCATTTCTCTGAATTTCAGTTTCCAGTCCATATCACCTTCTCCAGGAATTTAGACATACATTCTTCAGTCAATCTAGTGAGACTCATGAGAAAAAGGTGGAGAAAACTACTTAAAAGCATGGAATAGTGGTTTATTTGCTCTAAGCCCTCTAGGATTGTTTCTATGACATGTGTAAACCATCACTATCTGAGGGAAACATGAATCATTGACAAATCATATTAAAAATTTATGAGTATAGTAAGAGAAGCCGAGTAGGAGACAACTACATTTATGCCTCAATTATTATTATTATTTTTTTTTTTTTGAGACGGAGTCTCGCTCTGTCGCTCAGGCTGGAATGCAGTGGCCGGATCTCAGCTCACTGCAAGCTCCGCCTCCCGGGTTCCCGCCATTCTCCTGCCTCAGCCTCCGGAGTAGCTGGGACTACAGGCGCCGCCACCGCGCCTGGCTAGTTTTTTGTATTTTTTAGTAGAGACGGGGTTTCACCGGGTTAGCCAGGATGGTCTCGATCTCCTGACCTTGTGATCCGCCCGTCTTGGCCTCCCAAAGTGCTCAATTATTTTTTAATGTTATTGGGAATATAACCACAAAAAAAAAAAAAAAAAAAAAAAATTTTGTCACATTTGAGTTACTTGATTAAAATTATTTCCAAAATGGAAAAAAGTAACATTAGCCTCTCTCCTAATTCTCTTTGCACAGACAAATGGCACTAGGATTATTATTTTTTTCTCGCCTATTTGACTAGGTTTGTTTTCTGCCCTTGGCATTGGGTGATCTCCATCAAATATAGGTTATCAGCCTTCTACAGGCCTCACTTCTCAAACTGATAATTTATTAAGAAAAAAAATTGCTACATCTAAAGCAAAGTCAGTCTGTGAAAATTCAAAGGATGATAATTGGTTTTGTAAAACAATTATTTGTTTTAAAAGCAATTTCTTAAGAAAATACTAAAAACAGTGAGACATCTATTTTCCTGGCCCACTGAAATGATGTGACATAGTGATCAGTTACATAATTCTTTTATATTAAAAATATCTTATAATAAAAATAAACTCTCATGAGCTTGTATAACTCAAACAATGGTTCCGTAAGATTTTTACATGCAACTCTTTAACAATAGGCACATTTGGCATGATTACTATAAATTTTTATGAAGAAAAATTGGTTTTGCAGTGTTTCACAACAAAAGAAATCCCAGTGAAATGAAACAACTTAGATTTTTTAAGCTGTGAGGTTGGTAATGGGGGTGGGGTGTACATTTTATCATCTAAAAAGATACCTTTAGGTGTGTGCTTATAAAATAATTTCCATGTCTAACTATTCAAACTTACAACCTACCTAAACAGGCTATGGAAACAAAAACAACAACTTTCTGAAAATCATCACATTTCCTCACTCAGACACTTACAGGTACAACCAAGTGCTTTCCAGTTGGGAAAAATCTTTAGTACAATAGGAATATACTTAGGTTTTTAAAATTAAGAAATCATTGCCTATGATGTGGAAACAGTCTTATTCATATTAACCACTTTTTGGCATTTACCACATTAACAATGATAACCACTTCTCAATGTGGCTAACTACCAAGTGATCTTTAATGTTTCTAATAAACTACGTCAAGAAATACAAAACATTGTAGGTCTTACTGAACCCTGGAACAAAACAAATAAGCGAACACAAATGCATTTTAAAGGCTTGCTGGTAAGAGGTATACCAGTGTTGAAGGTGTTGGACGTGATAGAAAACTTGCTGTGTGTTTTGTACGTATGTTATACATTGTGAGATATCAGATGAAAGCTCTGGAGAGAGAAAGTAATTGTGAGAATACAAATTGAAAACACAGTGAAATACAATTTTTTTCCTTTTAAGTTTCCAACACAAGGAAACTAGTTTTCAGACTCTTGAGTACTGATCACACACACACAGGCAAACCCTACTTCTACATCTGAAGTTATGCATTAATTTGGCTAGCTACCTGAAAAAAATACAGGCAGTCAAAGGTTGAAGTAAACGAACCCGTGTATGTGTTTAAGTGACTAGATACACTGAGATCTATTTACTTTTCAAAATTTCTCAGAAGACACTTGCTGTCAAAATGGTTTTTTGACTGAAATTTTATCTCCTGTAGTCAAAATATACTAAATCTTATTAAAACAGCAGCAAGTTCTTAATTTCCAGTAAAATATCCACAGCTCTTTCTGGAAACTGAAGGAAGTTGAAATAGCTGCAGACCTACTTTGGTCAAACACTTTTTTTATAGAAATATATATGGATATTTTAATAGAACCAAGGGATATAAAGTGACATATTAAGGGAGAATGTATTTACAAACAGTAAAAAGAAGCTACTGTGTATTATGGGTGAAAATGATTATGATGCCATTAAAGACATTCTATAAGAGGTAGGTGACAAGGGGGAGACAGTTCTGCCATCTTCAAATGTCCCCTGATTTTACATTCATCAGTGTTTCTTTCTTGTAAGCCCAGGGGATGTTCAATAACTCCCAAGTTTTTCTATATTGCAAGGTCACCACTGTCACGTGAAGCAGTGCACATCCTCTTTTGGTCACAGAGAGCAGATTCTGCCCATTATTGGACTCCTGTTGACAATGCTACTGAAGCATGACTTTCTGTGAGTTAGGTAGACCTCCTGTTCACCACAACAGCATCAGTGCTGAATCCTCCAGTTATCTTTGTGCATAAGATCATAACCACAGGCTAACATTTCTTCAGCAAGCATTGCTTAAACGCAGAAGGCCTCTGGGAGAGAGGACATCCTTTCGCTAACTTCCGGTTTCCATCCTGGCACTGCACCGTCCTGGTGTGCCAACCCGTGTCACAGGTCCTAGAGCAGGCGAGCCATGGGCCCGTGACCCACTGCAGCTGCGAAGTGTGTGATCCCACTTTATTGCTGCCATGACTAGTGACAGAGTTTACTTTTGGAGTGGACTTCTTGGGAACAAAAAAGCTGTAACGGACATCTAATGGTTTCGTGGGATCTGTTGCAAGGATCTGCACTATTAGAATTTCCTTCGTGGCAGAGTAGCCCATGCCATGCAGGAAGTCGTCCCTGTGGCTCCAACCACTATAGTTCATGACTGTTCCATTGATGTCAATGATAGTCTCTGAAGTGGAGATCATGTACTTGCCATTGATAAGGTACTCACCATTTTTCTTTTTCAGGGCTAAATAGGCAGTGAATCTAGTCTGGTCTTTGGCTTTGAACTGTCGAACTTTTATGTGGGTTGCCCCTTCAGGAATCCTCACCACGTCAGTGTAGCCCTTACTGGAAGTAGGAATGTTCACAGGAAGTGGGGGGAGGTGGTTAAAAAAAAGGAGAAAAAATAAGTAAACAGTAAACAATAAACAAGTTCTCTAAAAAGTCTTCTCTGAACACACAGTTTTAATGTCTTTAAGAGATTAGTTTAAAATTGAGTTTAAGAATTATTTTTTATGACAAAATTGCAATTAGCCTACAGTATTGTATACACTTTAATGGAGGTGTTCCAAATTAGGATGATGCTAGCAACCTGCCTTCATTTGAAAAAATTATACTAACTTTCAAGATTTATGAAACCATTTTCATCCTTATCAAATCCTATCACTTTTACAAATCTATTTTACATTCTTTCTGGCACAAAATGGGATATATTTAAATACAAACTGACAAAAGTATGCCTTCACTTAATCACATATAATTCTTTAATGTTTCTCAAATTTGCCTCCACGTTAGAATCATGTGGAGATCTTTTAAATCTTTCAGAGCCTACCCACACCTCAGACCAATTAAATCCCATCTTCCATGGTTGGGCACAGGCAAGAGCACTTTTAAAACTTCTCACATTGTTCCAATGTGCAGACTAATTGGGAACACAGAATTAATTAGTTTTTGGACTAGAGGCGAATAGAGTCTCTGCATCCCTTTCTACTAGAACTCTGGATTTTGTGGGACAGGCCACTAAATGAAGCACGCAGTTTCGAAATTGGGTAATGATATTACTAATACCATCATAAAAGGGGAATTTTTAAAAATGACTTAGCAAATGTTTCTGAATTCTTAGTGCCCATAAGATATGATAGATTGAGAAAGGCTTTATGGTGAGTGACATATAAGTCTTCAAAGAGCCATCATCTGTTCAAAAAAATGGGGAAAGACATAAATATCTTTAATACCCATAAGCCTGTGAGGAATGCTAGGATGGAAATGCTAATTAAGCACCAAGTGTGAGGTGAGGAGTCTACTGTTGTCCACATTTTTGCCTTTTTAAGTAATTTCATAATAGGGTCCCTTTACTTTCCTAGTTATTTAAACAGGAATACTATTGGCTTGCACAGTTTGACTGACATGTGGAGCTGAACTGTCTCATTTCCAGTTCTCATTCACATGCTAAAAATCCAAGTGTGTTTCCCCTACTCCAGAGTTTCCTCTGAATTGGAAAGGAAGCTGATCGCCAAGGAAGCTGATCGCCAAGGAAGCTGATCGCCAAGGAAGCATTCTATAGTGACAGCCACACAGGCGATACAGCTTCCCACAGTGTTGAAGAGAGATGACGCAATGCTCAGGGTGTTCCTTATTCTGTCTAACTCGATTCATTAATTTTATTTTTGTAGTTACAGATCAGACTTTGTTACAGATGTGTTTTGTAGTACCTAATATTAATAAATAATCCATGAAACTATAGTGGCTTCAAAAAAAGTCAAAAGGGATGTTAGAGAATTCCTTGAAGCCAAGAGTTCAAGAGCAGCCTGGGCAATGTAGGGGAGACCTTGTCTCTACAAAAAGTAAAAAAGTTAGCCAGGGATGGTGGTGCATGCCTACGGTCCTAGCTACTGGCAAGGCTGAAGTAGGAGGATCACTTAGCCCAGGTCTTTGAGTGAGCTATGATTGCACCACTGCACTCCAGCCTGAGTAACAGAATGAGATCTGTCTAAACAGAAGATAGTTGGAGATAAATATGTCATCTCACACAAAAAGGGTATGAAATGGGGATATATGAAAGTATTTGAACAAGTTCATTTTAGAGTTGATTAGTGGCAGTGTTGGGCTTAAAAGCCAGGCTTGACTGGATGCCGTGCTCACGCCTGTAATTCCAGCACTTTGGGAGGCCGAGGCGGGGGGATCACCTGAGGACAGGAGTTCCTGACCAGCCTGGTAAACATGGTGAAATCCTGTCTCTACTAAAAATACAAAAAGTAGCTCGGTGTGGTGGCCCATGCCTCTAATCCCAGCTATTCTGGCGGCTGAGACAGGAGAATCGCTTGAACCTGGGAGGCAGAGGTTGCAGTGAGCCAAGATTGCGCCATTGCACTCCAGCCTGAGCAACAGAGTTAGACTCTGTCTCAAAAAAAAAAAAAAAAAAGTCAGGCTCTTGACTCCCAATTAGTGCTCTTTTTCACTACGTCCCCAGGCATAAAATCCTGACCCCTGCCAGCCATATGTTATAGCGGTTAAATGAAATTAAATTCTGGTTATGTCCAGAGTTTAAATGATGCCCAGTAGGGAGTAAGTAAAATAAAGAATAAAGGGTAAGGAAAGCTTTTTTGGGTGTTTACCCTTGTTCCTTAGAGCTTGTCTCATCTTGATAAGAATTAGTATGATGGTCAGTATTGCTGTAGGTCTTCAAACGGAGTTTCACAAGCACTGGTAAACCTGAATATTAGTGCCCTGACTTTTTAGTGCCTTAGTAAAAGATGATTCTCTTGATATTCCTGATTCTTTTTCTTTACATCCTGCTTGGTATCATTTAAACTCCAGACATGAACCAGCTTTCCTGACTACCATAAGTGAATGCAATTTTCATATAACTCTTACAAAGTATGGTTAGCAGGGTAAAGGAATCTTGTTTTGTTCAGCACTATCTGCACAGTGCCAAGGGCAATGTCTGTCATGAAGAAACGTATTCATGACATCCAAGCATGCTGTCAGAGAAGGGATGCTTTGGTCTGCTCCCAGCAAACAAAATATGTGGTGATATCAATTGATAAGAGCTGTGAAGAAACAGAGTAAGGTAAGAAGTTACACAGTAGTGGTGGGAATGCAGGAGATGCCCTCTTGTTCATGTACAGTAGCCACCATCTGGGCAGGTGACATTTGACAGAAACCTAAGAGATTCTGGAAGGTGTACTGCTCATTAATAGCGGAAAGTGTTCCAGGCAGAGGAAACAGCATCCTCATACCTGGTGTCATGTTTTTGAAGTGCCACAAAGTCCATTCTGGTCAGAGCAGAGCAAGAGAAGGGGACAGTGTAGAAAAGACACAGAGGAGGGAAGGGGCCAGATCTTTTAGCACCTTGGAGATTACAAAACAGTCTTGGGCATTGACTCTAAGTAAGATGGAAGCCATTGGAGGCTATTGATCAAAGGAATGCAATGATCTGATCTAGGTAATAGCCATGGCGTTCCTTGCTTGGTAAGACAAGATTGAGGGGCAAAGGATCCAGAGGTCACGAGAAGACTGCAGTGTTAGTCCAGGCAAGATCTGATGAACACTTGGATTGAGGTGGGAGTGGTCACTGTGGTGAGGGGCACCCAGATGCTGGAGATGTGGTGGAAATAGAACCGACAGGATCTGGTGATCGATGGATGTGGGGTGAGAGAAAATGAGACATGAACCATGACTCCAGAGTTTTGGTTTCAATAGTAGAAAGACTGAGTTGCCATTTACTGAGATGAGGAAAACTGAGGGAGGAGCAAGTTAGGATTAGGGTCATATTGTGGAGGCTTAAACTTGATAAAATATTTTAATATGTATGATCTCATTTCACCTTCACAACAGTTTTATTAACCGTATGATAATAATTACTAGGATTTCCACTTTACTTTTGAGAAATCTCATGGTAAAGAAATTAGGTGACAATTCAAAGATCACATGTCTAAGCAATCATTGAGCCAAAGCTTGATTACAAATATTCCAGTATGAGATCAATGTTCCTTTTTATAAACCATATAAATTACTATGGCCTCCCTAGGTAATAACTTTGAACTACTCAAACAAGTCATTTGTACCATAATACAATCTTGGTCAAGCCAATTTTCCAGTGGTTACATTGCATACCACTTGTTGCTATAATGAATTTCTTCATCTTTTCATGTGAAAAAAATGTGCAGATATTAGTTGTCAACACAAAAATACTTAAAATGCTAAATTTGGCAATTTGAAAAGTGGTTTATAACTTTATATAGATGAGAATATGTACCATAAAGTGTATAAGGTATTACTTTTTAAAAGTAATTTTGTTTCTAATCCTGAATTCTCTCTCTCCCTCCTTTCCTTTTCCTTTCTTTCTTTTCTCCCTCCCTCCCTTTTCTTTCTTTCTTTCTGTCTTTCTTTCTCTTTCTTTCTTTCTTTCTTTCTTCCTTTCTTTCTTTCTTTCTTTTTCTTTCTTTCTTTCTTTCTTTTCTCTTTCTTTCTTTCTCTTTTTCTTCTTTCTTCTCTTTCTCTCTCTTTCTTTCTTCTTCTTTTATTTCTTTCTTTCTTTTTCCTTCTTTCTCTCTCTCTCTCTCTCTTTCTCTATTTTTTTTTTTTTTCAAAGTGACCTGTGCATTCTAGGATTTCAGTTATGGTGTCTGTTCTTCTCTGGCATTCATCAGCCATGGAGAATTGGCTAACTCCTATATTTTCAGAGTCCATCTCATTTTTAAAACAGAAGGTTGGACTGATCATCTCCAAGGTGTTTAATACTTTTGAAACATATAAAAATGCAGGCTATAATTGGGCATGCAGGGTTTTTGACATAGATGGTCTAACACAATTGGGTGAATAATTATTTCATTAGCAAATAGAATTAGTAATGCCTATTTTAACTCAGAATAAATTTTTCAGCCATATAGTTTCAAATCGCATCAGAGGAAATTTACAGTTTTTACATTAACATTTTTAATTATTTTAATAAATCCTATTGTTAATTTGGTTTGCATATTACTCTCAAATTACAGACAACAGAGCACGTCCATCAAGAATACAGATACCTTTGACTAATAACACTCAGCCTAAGAGTGGTTTGGGAAGAAAAGCAAGCCTGTGTTTTACCAGAATCTAGTCAACCCAGTCATCCTACCTGATAGCATGTTTTATGCCAGAAATTGGTACTTTATAAACTTGAATATTTAAAGCAAAAGTGTAATCTAGGACCACAAGAGGAAGCAGGAGACAGACACTGCTGTATATATTTCTTCAGAGAGTAGATATAAACCAGGATACTTCACTAGGATTGTTACCCACACCACTGCCATGAACTTACATTTTGCAAGGAGAAATGTTTTCTTAAGGAAAACACAGTGTAAGGAGAATTTGTTTTTGAAACTACAGTTAAGATCAAAACCAGCCAACCTTATCTAAATTATGTTTTAGAAATAACAATAGATCTGCAACATATCACTAAAGTGGAATGTCACCCACTCTTTCTTTTCAGTTTTCCGACTCTGCCAGCTATTGATTCCCATGGCTACTGCAGTTTATCTGCTTCCAGAGGCGTCATGAGTTATCCCTGAGCAACCAGAGTTTTATTCATCTCCTGTCTCTTCCTTCTCATGTTTAAAATGTGTTTCTAGAGCCACGTTAGACCTCCTTGTACACATAGCTTAGGATGTAATATGAACCCCCCTTTACCAATTTTGCAAGCGTCTAAAGCTTTGTTCAATTCATACAAAGGCAAAGGTTCTATCATTACCTTTTCTTATTAAAGGTTCCAACAATCTTTGTACAGCTGGAGTTGTCTCCTCCACATACCCCGCACTTGTCATACTGCAGCTTTGAGCCGATGATGCTGTCACAGCCAGTTCTCACACACTTCCCCCGGACGCAGACAGAATTGCTGTACGGCCTACATTCAGTGCCGTCGGTCACCTGAATCATGGCAAACACATTAGCAGTGGGAAACGTGTGCGTCAGTATTTGCTCCTTTGGTCAACTAGTAAGGTCTCATTTGTGATTTTTTGAGTTTGATGGGCATAGACAGTTCATTGAAAAAAAAAAAAAGCCAAAAAACATAGTTTCTGGAAGTATCTAACTGAAAAATCCTTGGCATATTGCCAGACAGCAGATTACAATAAGCCTAGGTTACACAGTTTCTCTCTTAAGCTTACCTCTGAATGTGTTAAGAGACACAAGGTACTTATCTTCGTTTTTGTACGCATAATACATTCTCACGATACCATCTTGGCTTTTTATGATAGAAAAAAGTGTTTTGGACTTGGGGTTTTGGACTATCATTTGTGTGCAGAACTGAATATGAGCAGGCTTGAGAATGCAAAGATCCTTCTTTGTTGCATAGTTGTTATGATAATGACAAATTCGAAAATCTAAACTTGCCATTCAAAACTATGTCATGGTTGGAGAGCATTCCCTATTGTGTGTTGAACTGTCAGACACCGAAATAGAGGCAACCAAATTAGTATAGAAAAAGGAGTCTGGAGAAGTTAGATGAACGGACTTACTGGAAGAGACTGAATATATTTTGAATAAAGGGATTAGTGTATAGTTTAAAAGCTAGTTATAAAACAGTGTGTACATACATTGTGGCTTGTGCATGTGAGTATAGTATATATACACTCACATACATAAATAAGCCTGTAAATTTCATATGTATATAGAAAACTCTTTTTATGCATGTGTGTATGTTGTGAATGTGTGTGTGTGTGAATTGAAGTAGAATATACTTCGTCAGGTTAATAGCTCTGTGGATGGTGGTATTTTCAGGTGATTTTTATGTTTTTACTGCTGTGTAATTTTTTAAATGAAAATGCATTATTTTCTAATAAAAACACGATATTTAAAAAATTACATAACTTGGACATTAGCTTGTTTTTCAATAACATGTCATAACTATCTGAAGGCCAAGTTTCAGAGGTAATTTTTTTTCTGAGACAGAGTCTTGCTCTCTTACCAGGCTGGAGTGCAGTGGTGTGATCTCGGTTCACTGCAATCTCCACCTCACGGGTTCAAACGATTCTCCTGCCTCAGCCTCCCGAGCAGCTGGGATTACAGGCATGCACCACCACACCCAGCTAATTTTTGTATTTTTAGTAGAGATGGGGTTTCATCATGTGAAAGCCCGCCTCGGCTTCCCAAAGTGCTGGGGTTACAGGTGTGAGCCATTGCACCCAGCCATAGGTGATTTTAAATGTAGCAACTGTTTATAAATGTGTAAATTGCTGTATAACACTGACCATAAGAATAAAACTCTGCTATAGATTTAGAAAATGCTCACTTGTGAAAAATAAGTCATGTTCCATACACAAATATTATAACATACGTAACTAGAGGGACATTGATTCATATTAAGGGTTCTTGACTTATTCAAAAGCCTCAGGCAAAGGTATATGATCTTGAAACCCATCTCCATGGCTCATCAAAGGAATTCTTAAGTAAATCACAGAAAAATAGAAAAAGTTTTCTTGCCTTGGAGTCTCCTTTACAATGGTGCTTAGGAAATACTAGTTGTTTTCATGGTTACTTTAAAGTTAAGGTCCACACTTTGCCTTCCTTGACAGTGGTTACACCTTTTAAATATAGCTTTTAAAACATTTACTTGTTCTGTTTATAAAATAATTTTATTCATTGTGTAAAGGTTTGAAATATAGAAGTTATAGAGATGAAAATAAAACTTTCCAAAATCTAACTGACCCCAAATAATAGCTGTTTACATCTTGCGTCCGCAGGCTTCGTTCTACCAAATAATTTCACCAGTACGCCCACCGCTTCTGCCACATTGGTGTGTAGTTACCTTTGGAGAAATACCACATGTAGCCAGTGCCCTTGGCTCTGCAGGTCGCTTGACCACATCCGCTGGCAGGACGCCTGCATATTTGGGAACCCATTCCACAAAAGTTTGACTCCTTTTGCATCAGACTGATAGCCGTTTTGGCCTCACACTGTTCATGACGAAATGATTTACCTAGAAAACAAACATGTTACAGTATTATTTTGTCAGTTCTGAAACTTAGATCTGTTCTTGTGGTTTAAATAGTTATTTAAGGATAAGATGCAAAGTTGTTTTTTTTTTTTTTGCACAGTCTCTTTACTCCAAAGTACTGATGGATTTTATCCATACATAGAGTTCAAAATGGTGATTATTTATTCCAGTTCTCTGAATACTCTGTTGCTTATAATAATACTAACATCACATATATGGACGGGCATGGTGGTTCATGCCTGTAATCCCAGCACTTTGCGAGGCTTAGGCGGGCAGATCACGAGGTCAGGAGTTCGAGACCAGTCTGACCAACACAGTAAAACTCCATCTCTACTAAAAATACAATAAATAATAAATAAATAGCAAGCCAAGTGTGGTTGGTGGTGCACCTGTAATCCCAGCTACTCAGGAGGCTGAGGCAGGAGAATCGTGTGAACCAGGAGGCGGAGGCTGCAGTGAGCCAAGATCATGCCGTTGCACTCCCAACCTGGGGGCAACAGTGCGAGACTGCGTCTCAAAAAAAAAAAAAAAAATTCACATACGTGTTTGTTATTGATCTGCATATTGGTGGAACTGCGCAGTCTAAGATTAATATTATTTCCCCAGCTTCCTGTATTAATTATTGCTAGAATACAAATGACATGTAGCATGTGATGGTTGCTGACACTTGGGAGCAGCGTACCATTGGGCGGGCAGGGCATGAGACTGCAGGAGCGGTAGATGGCTCTCTTCCCTGTGCAGTAGCGTCCGTTGTTTCTGGGAGCAGGGTTATTACAGTGACGATAGGCAAACTGCACTCCTCCTCCACATGAGCGAGAACACTGGCCCCAGGATCCCCAAGACCCCCAGTTGCCATGGCTTGATGTCTGAAAATAGAAGATATTTTAACTCAGATGAGAGAAAAACAATCAAAATGTGCATTTGGAAATCACTTGCTTTTAACGACAAAGTAGAAACTTTGTCACAGACACAGTTATATTTTCACTGAATTTAACATGATCATGCTTTGGAAATGCAATACATTTCCAGTGTTAAGCAATCCATCTTTTCTACCACCCCCACTCCAGCACTAGAAGATCTGAAAGCGTCATCCTAAGTACTGAGCACACCACAAAGATTACCTCCTGGTTTCTATGGGCCATTGTAAATTATGTCTTCTGATTTGGTCCATCTCTGTTAATATCACTGAAGCATGGTAACTTTTTGTCCACTCTGATCTTGGATCTTTATTGAAACATATAATGCTGAAGGATCTGCATGGCACTGGTCATTATTTGTGTTTGCATCTGTTTAGCAGTAAAACTCTGCGGTCCCTTTGTTGACAACCCACATCCTGTCTGTGACCGACTCCGTGACGTACATAAATGTACCGGACCCAACTTGGTTTAATTCCTAATTAGATGTGACAGATACTGAAGTGCACTCACGGCATACATGCAGACACACCCCTTAGGGAAGGAAGAGCCCTTTTATGGCAACCCAAGTCTATTTCTCTGGAGACATTCCGGGAGGGAGCTTAGAGATTCCGAAAGGAAGAATCTGATCAGCTGCTTTGCTGAGGGAATCTGTGAATTGCCTCTGGCTGACTGTGTCAGGTTATCTGATGGTGCATGGCTGAGTGATGCCCTGGAAAGATACAGGCAATGGGCACATGATAATTCTCTTCTAGGGACTTTGCAAATCTTGTGGGTTGAGAGCGAGCACCTATTTTACTCAGGTCTTGAAAATCAACAGGGCAGTTGCTGATCTGAAGTGGACTGTGTATATGGTGGCAGATGTGTTTTCCCGGAGCAGCCATAAGTTACTTTAGCTCCTAAATTTAGATGAACTTATTGTCAAGGGGAAAAAAGTGACCATTTGGAGCTCACCAAATATGTACATGGACCACATGTATCAGCTCTGCTATTACCTCCTTACTGAATTTAAATACTTACATTCTGATAACTTCAGCAAGAGAAGTTTGAAAGTAAACTTCCCAAAGGCAATGAATAGGCTCCTGCCTGGGGTCTCAATTAGACAGAATCTGAGTTACATGAGTATTTGTTAAAAGATGTAAACCACAAAGAAATCCCTGGTATCTGCATTTTCCCCAGTAAATCTCGGATCACTGAGAATGGCTACTGCGAGTAAAAGAAGCCATAAATAAATCTCAAAATGAAAAGTTTTTAAATCAGAAAATAAAACCTTCTGAGGACAGTGACCATACCCATCACAAGAATGCACTTCACTTCTTGGGCCTCCAGGCCCTGACTGATGAGAAAATCACTTACTGAATAATATTTTTTCTTGGTTTTGTCCACACATTTGCCCTGCAGGCAGATTCTCCCCTTTCCACAAGGCGTCCCTTCCACAGCAGGCAGTTTCTTGGTAAGACAGACCATCTGGCCCTGGCGGACCACGGCACACCACAGGCGAGCGCAGACATCCATGCCGGGACACACGGAGTACTCGGGGCCGAATGTCAGGTTACACTGCTGAGTGGCATCATAGGTCTGTCCTGGGAGTTCTTCGGGGCCCAGGATCTGCTTTCGTGGTTGGTCCAGCAAACAGTTACCTACAAGAATATCTGAGATTGACCACGGCTCTGTGTTTAAGTTTCAAACCGCTAAAGTCATGGATCTAAAAATAAAATGCCCCGGCTGGTGTTGGAGCACGAGGCACCTACGGATCTGCAGTGTAATGCTCTGGAGAGGGACTCCACGGGGACAAGGCTGGGCGCCTCCTGCGACGCACGATACCCGCCAGGGTTCTCAGGAGTGATACGCTCCGGAGTGTCTGTGACAATAGCGGTGAGGTTGGCAGGGGTGTGATGAAATAAAATGATTTTGTAATAATTACTTGTGAAAATAGCCGTTGTGCTAAGGCGCTAAACAAAATTGGGATGGACCTAGAGGAAATCAGATGGTGAATTTTAATAATAATAATAATGATAATGAAACATTGACTACTTCGAGAAACAGTTTGCCTTTGGCACTCTATTTGTATAACCCATTACCCATTTCTAACTCACCCCTTCCCCATGTGCCTATCACATGTCTCCTTTCCACTAATTCCATAAATCATAGCCAAGCTGGATCCTCATTCATTCTTACAGTCACTCGACAAGCATTTGTTCAGCACCTACAATGTTCTAGAAAACACACTAGGTATCTGAAATACAGAAAAATGACCCAGATCTACCTTTGAAGGCCTCCCAATAAAGTCAAGGAGATAAAGTATTTCTCCCAGACTGATAAAAATTTTAATAAAAAGCTTTCAAGATTCACAGAACAAAGGAGCAGTGAAAAAAGAAAAAATAGTCTTTGATAATTTAGGATTAGGCTAGTCTTTATACTCTTCTCTTTGTATCTATTTAATGGAATTGGTATTTGTTGAGTATTTGGAGCGTATCTGCTGAAGCAAGGTAGGCATCTCATTGCATCATGTATGAGGGTGTACAGGCAGAGGGGTGAGATGGGGAATTCATAGAAGCTGGAACATGGACGATGAGAATCCAAAACCTTAAATGTGCTTCCTCGTCCTCTCCTTCCCCTCCCTGCAAAAGCTTCCTTAAGAATCCCTGTCCAGTGAGTTAACATCATTCATTTTCTTTTGTCACACACACGTGCATGCACATTGTCCATCTGTTTCTGTATTTTTCTGTTTACTTGATTTTAGGATTTACACAATTATTATAATAGCAATTAAAAATAACAAGTATGTGTTACACACACTATTCTCCATTCTTTACACGTATGAGCTCATTTAATCCTCACCACAGCCCCATCAGGCAGATTCTAGTGCATATTTTATTTATGCTACAGATAAGGAAACTGAGGCCCGTAAGAGGCAGACCAGTTACCCAAGGTCACACAGCTGTTATGGTTTCATGCTCGGAGCCTGCCCTCCTCTTCTGATGCCAGATGGCTTCTGTTAGCATGTGAGTAGCCGCCTGATTGTATTGCTGAAGGGCAGCCATGTGTAAGGATCCTCTAAGCGGTGGATATTGAGCTTAATGGAAGAAACACCCGGTCTGAAGTCTTACTCTGGTGAAACACTAAATGGTCGAATGCTGCTGGCTAAGTTAGCTAACCTCTCCTTAATTTATTTTCAAGATCTGCATAATGCTTCTCTTCTCACTGTGATACTGTACATGTGAAATTACCTAACAAAGATATTAAGGGTGACCAGAAAAATACAAAGCAATGGTAGTTCTATCCCAGCATATTTCATAGTCTTTTAGCTGTATTACAGTTATTCTTTTTATTCAACAAAAAAGTCATATTCAAATCCTTATGCACCACTGAGAAATCGAATATTCAGCGCATTTTAAGTATACCATAAATTTTTAAGGACTACATTCAAATTTCTTCAAAGTGAATACCTTAGAATTTGTCAATCTGTGTTGGGGGCATTATATGAAAATGAATAAAGAGCAAAGTTCCTGTTTAACTTCTGAGCCAGAACGTTTGGAGAGGTAAAGCTTCTTAAGGCAAGCCAGGAAAAGCATTAAAAATAAGTATCCAGCCAAAGAGAACTTTGGGAGAAAAACACCAAGTTAAAAGAAAAACATCAACATCAAGTCAGTAGGAAAGAATGATAGTAAAAGCTCACTAAGCTCTGTTTATAAGACAGAGTGCGATTAGGGCTTCAGAACCCCACGAAAAACATTATCTTCATTGCAGAATCAAAAGAGAAGTACTGTGTACACCAGGAGATGCCTGGCAGATTGCTGATGTTAGAAGACTGTCAACAAATCTCTGAGTCTGCAAGAATGTTTTCCAGTTCTTCAAAAGCGCTGTTTTAAGAAACTTTTTTTTTTTTTTTTAAGTTTTACTAAAAAGCACAGACCATAGGACTGGGTAACTAAATATTAGTTAGGAAGTCTTTACCATGTATGCATTCACATGGCGTGGATCTACCTCATTTTTCTGGAGTCAAAATAACTCACCACCTGACTATGCATACACAGTCACTGACACCTGTTCTACCTCACTAGTGGATGACAAGTGAAAAGAGATGTGTAATGCAAACAATTTGAAATCGGCTTCCAACAAGGAGACTTCAAGATGTGGCATCTCTTTAAAAAGCTTAAATTAGAAGTATAAGTTTTAAAAACAAGTAACACATTAGCTTTCTATTAAAAATAAGATATATCAGCTCTATAATTTTCCCTTAGAGGTCATACATGTGGAGATGACTTTTTCTTGCTTAAAATAAAATAACTTATTTCAGAATTGCAATTAATGTGTTATGCCAACATTCTCAGTACTAGGATTTGTAGCTGCATCAATTTCTGTTTATGCCAAAGTATATATGATTTCATTTTTACATTGAATTACCTCCTTTTGCAACAAAACAGGTACAAGCATCTCTACCAAATGACAGAATGATGCCAAGAAACAATAACAAAAATCAATACAGAGTCTAAGTCTGAACTCACAGTATAAAATGTTTAAAATCTAGTAATAACACATTGGATATATATTTTTCTATGTTTAAAAAATGTATACAGTTAGGGGAAGGAGTAAAAAGGGAAAATGATCAACCTTTCAGTATCATTTCTAGTGACCCCTGGAAGCATCCAACCTACTGCTGATTTTTTTCTTAACCTATTTTACTTTTATTCTCAACCACTTCTTCACATCTACTTCACATATGTTTTAATTCATCGTAGTCTGAAATTTGATCTGGGCCTTGCTGCGAACATTTTGTGTTTGGTCTGTTCTACAAATTGGCAAGTTTCTTCTTCTCTCCTTCCCTCCCTCTCTCCTTTCCTTCCTTCTTCCTTTTTTTCTTTTGTTTTAACATTGTGTATATGTAAATGGATAGACTATAAAATAAAGTCAGGCCGGGTGCGGTGGCTCATGCCTGTAATCCCAGCACTTTGGAAGGCCGAGGCGGGCGGATCACCTGAGGTCAGGAGTTCGCGACCAGCCTGGCCAACACGGTGAAACCCTAGCTCTACTAAAAATGCAAAAATTAGTTGGGCATGGTGGCGGGCACCTGTAGTCCCAGCTACTCGGGAGGCTGAGATAGAAGAATCACTTGAACCCGGGAGGCTGAGGTTGCAGTGAGCCAAGATCACGCCATTGCACTCCAGCCTGGGCAACAAAGAGTGAAATTCCATCTCAAAAAAAAAAAAAAAAAAGAAAGAAAGAAAAGAAAGTCAATAGGAATGTATGCATATTGCATATATGTTTTACCATTCATGTTAAACTAAATGCTTAAAATAAGGCAAAAAAATAAAAAGTAAAACGCTGTGATTTGAGATGAACCAGTAAGAAAATGTGTTGGCAGAAGTCCACTAAAGGTGATGGAAGGAATGCCATGCCTCCAGGAAATGTAACAGAAAAATCTCTAGTTTTGTATATCTGACTTATAGTATTATTTGTCTCTCATATTAATGGTGAACCAAAATTATCAGAGTTGTTGTTCTTTTTGTTGTTGTTGTTGTTGTTGTTTTTGATGGAGTCTAGCTCTGTTGCCCAGACTGGAGTGCAGTGGCACGATCTCGGCTCACTGCAACCTTCATCTCCCGGGTTCAAGCAATTCTCCTGCCTCAGCCTCCTGAGTAGCTGGGATTACAGGGGTGCGCCACCATGCCCAGCTGATTTTTGTATTTTTAGTAGAGACGGTGTTTCATCACATTGGCCAGGCTGGTTTCAAACTCCTGACCTCAGGTGATCTGCCCACCTTGGCCTCCCAAAGTGCTGGGATTACAGAGCCACCATGCCTGGTCTCAAAGTTGTTGTTCTTTATTGTTTTCAATTTTTTCTTCCCTATTTCTAGCACTACAATTATTTCCACCTTCCCTTCCTTTTCAATACTCAGGTATGAAATTGAGCATGACCCAAATATTCATGATCTAGGAGAAATCAATTAATGTTCCTAATGAAACTCATCCAAAGAAGCCTAACACCACTGCTTACAATCTCCCTTTGCTTCCTCTCTTCATCTCACGACGCTTGGCCGTCTGCTTTTAGGTCTTTCCTTGAATGTCTAACGTTAAAATATAAATGGGTGCATTTGCCTGCTCTTTGATCACTCATTTTGGACCCAGTGATATAAGAATGAACAAGAGCACTTCCAAAAACCAGACAATTGTTGTCAAAAAGCAATTCAAGGGGTCTGGGTGTGAAGCTGTTAGATGCATTAGGTATACTGTTTAGCAGACGTAATGGCAAGGAAATTAAATTAAAGATTCCCTGTGATAGAGGATAAAGGAATGTTTTTAAAAATAGAAGTCACCGTGGCCTTAAACTATATGTCTTATTTGCACACTCTATTAAAGAGCATATTTAGTATGAAAATCAAGATACAACCATAGTGTTGGCTTTGAATTTTATTAACTCCACCTTAAAAACTGATGTTAAGCTCTCCTGGCTGGCTTTATAGTCTATACTTAACAAAAGATTCAGGGAACTGGTTTTCCAATATCATTTTATGTGCAAATTTCTGTGTTCAGTAAGTGGCTGTAAACTTAGCTCTTTACACTACATGACGAATTTTCAAAACCATCTATAGATTTTCCTTAGCAACCTATGTTGTGAGTGTTCTTGAGCTGTATCTACATAAGTGGTGGCCTTTCTCATCATCTGGCACCGTGGACTCAGGGATACAGCAGGCACAGCTATCTTTTCTGGACTCAAGGTTAGTAAGCATTTGAGAAAGGAAATTCAATAACCTGCTTTCACTGCACAATTTCTTTGCCAGTGCTTACCTTTATTTTTGAGGATCATACTCCTAGCCAGCTTGCCTAGAGCTAGCTTGTATAAACACTGCAGAATGTCTACAAGTATCTTGGCCAAGGTTGGGAGTAGGGGGGGTCCCATGAGACATGGCTTCTCCTTTTCTGAATCACAAATCTGCAGACCCAGTGACTTTAGAGTGAGCACACACTGGTTTTTCAACCATAACCTAATTGCTGCATATTTCTTGTTGGAGCTAAATCAGGAAACACTCAGTACTAATGAATTTACATTTGGCAGTGGACAAGTGCTACAAATGTCCAGCTACTTATGGCTAATAATTTTAAAAATAAATCAAATGCTTTGAATTTAATTTTACTCTCTGACCTCATTTCTCCAGTATTACTGAAGGTGAGAGGGGGAGGGATAAGATATTAGACATAAATGGAATACCCATTTATAATGTACTCTTTAGGTACCATTAAAAAATTGTATATGTGTTGTGAGATTGCCTGCTTAAAAAATAGCAATTGCTTTTCTGCCTTTATAGGGGCCACAGTTTAACTTTCCTAAATAATTGAAAATCATTTTTTTCTGTGTGTCAGTTATTGTATCATGCTGAAATATAGCACTAACTTGAGGGACCGTGTTGGTGAGATAGGGGTTTTGACTTTTAGAAAATGGTACTAGACCACTGTGCCTTTCATGTTCTCAGGCTGCTGTTTACAGCTTTTCTCTTATTGTCAAATAATATCATTTCTTGCTCTCAGATTACCTGTCTAAAGTCTCCCTCACCCCTCATGACTATTTTATTGCTTAAAAAATTGAGTGGCCTAGAAAATTAGAACAGAAAAATGGTAGAACTGTAAAATAGGAATAAATGGACTCTGAGTGGAAGCCTGCGTATCTTCCTACGGGTAAAGTTGAAAGGTTTTATAATAGAGTTTTGTGACATCATTTAGTCTTCTAACAAAGATGCATCTGTTTGTTATTCTATCATCTTGGGCTTTGACTGTCTTCTTAGTTCTCTCCCACGCTCTTCAGTTGAGATGTTAGAACCTCAATCATCTCTAAAGTGGGTTTAGTAGTTGCTTTCTTTTTTTTTTTTCTTTGAGACAGAGTCTTGCTCTGTCCTCCAGGCTGGAGTGCAGTGGTGTGACCTTGGCTCACTGCAAGCTCTGCCTCCCGGGTTCATGCCATTCTCCTGCCTCAGCCTCCCGAGTAGCTGGGACTACAGGCGCCGCCACCATGCCCGGCTAATTTTTTTGTATTTTTAGTAGAGACGGGATTTCACCATGTTAGCCAGGATGGTCTGGATCTCCTGACCTTGTGATCCGCCTGCCTCAGCCTCCCAAAGTGCTGGGATTACAGGCGTGAGCCACCGCGCCCGGCCGGGTTTAGTAGTTTCTATGGTCACACTTTCACTTACATTGACTTAAGTCAGCTTTTTGGTTACAATTTAAAAGTTATTAAGTTATTTCAATTCATCTTTAAATAATAGCACTACAGGGAGTATCACTGTTTCAATTCTGAATCTGTGTATGCTCTTTTGAAACGAAATAAGATATAACTGAGCTTTGTCATTGTGCCACACTGCTTTTCTTTGGTTTTTGTTATTCTGAAATCACTTTATTCACGTTATAAGCTACTGATAAAATAGGATTATTTTTATCCAAACAAAAGGCTGCCTAACCAAACCAACATATTCAAAAGTGAGAAAGTCTAGATTGGAGGAAATAAATTAAATAAGTAAACTATAAGCATTTTCTGTTCAATGAATTTTGGTAACTGAATTTATTTAATATATATAAGAAATTTAGATACATTTTTATTAGTGCAAATGAATAAGATCTATTTCTATTAAAAGTATGTCCTTAATTGTTCTCTATCTTGAGTCCTTTGGAACAGAAACAGAGACATAAAAATATGTAAATTTGTTATAAAATCTTTAAAAAATCAGAGCATGGACTCCTTTAAATATAGAATTAATGTTAAAAAAATGAAGACAATGCTGAAAGCATATTTACTGCATAGAAATTAAGATCACAAATTCCATAAACATGAAATAAATGAATCATTTCAAAATTAGGAACAAAATTCTCCCCAGCATTGTAATTAGCTGACCTAATACTTGCACAGGGAAAAAAATTTGGTCTCATTTTAGCCATAAGTATTTGCTGCCTTAGCAACTAAATCCATTCATTTAGTGATTCAAGGTTTAGCTCAACTTCTTGGAATGTGTAACGTGTGATTTTGAAATAAAATATTAATGTTATTTTATTTTCAGAAAACCTGAAAAGAAGTAAAACAGAAAAGCAATATTATGAGTGGAGACTTAAGATTCCACCCAAGAAGGACTTTATGAGACATTGACCTGATCAACATAGATAGGATGATAATAAGGTAACATTTACTTTAGGACTTTATGGGCATTTAATCCACAATGTAAACTGAGCTAAACATAAAATTACCATTGTATTATTGGTCTAAAGGAAAAGCTTCATACACTAATTCTTATTGTTGTTTCCAAGTCTTTAAATTATTGAGATATTTTTTCGGCTAAAAAAGAACTTTTTTTTTTTGTATCGAGATATATTTTAAACCAAGCTGGACCCAGATTGCTTTTTCAAAATGAGACATACAAATATATAGTAATAGGTGGCTAAATCTTTACCTGTTCACCACTAATGGAGCAAGAATGAGTTAATGAACACATTTTGGCTCCATGGTATCAGAGAACTGTGCAGCCTCTATGTCTGAAATAAATTGAATTTGTCAATTGTTCTGGTATTATGTAGCCACAGTTCAAAACGGTCAACATACTAAAAAGTTATGGGACATTAAGTCATAAACTTTGTGGAAGTGGGAAAAAGACAGTTTTCATAGATTATTCAACTTTGAACCCTATATAATGAGATAATTTTATAGAAAATTATTATGATCAATAATTGCTGTCACATTCAATTTAACCACTGGTTTTAGAAACACAAATTTTAAGAGAACACAAAATAAATGAGAATATGTCCCTTTCTGTAAGATAGGAAATTTCAGCGACATAATGTCTGAAGATTTTTTACAATGCCAATGCATCTATCCTCCTGTGTTTTTATTATTTTAAAGTACTAAAGAATGCTAGGAAATTTGCAACAGCTTGTTTCAAAGATTACTTAGGGGTCGGAATTTATTATTTCTAAAAATTGTAACTTCCTCAGTATTTTAATATAATTTACAGCACTAATCCTAGTCTTATAGAATTTAATAAAATATGCTGTGCTCCTGAATTGTAGTGAAAGGATAAAGCCAAGGGTTTCTTTTGAAGTTCTTAAAGTGTTTTCCCATCATTGAGATTGCTTTTCTATTTCTGTTCTGCAGTTTTTACTCTGCTTTCAGGAGAATCTGCTATCAGGATAAAACCAAATTCTTCTAGTCACTGCAAATCTAGAAAGTTTCCTCTTCTAGGCTTATGTTGCCATAAAGAGAATCCAGTAGAATTGTCACCTACACCTTAACTGCACCCCTATAATAGGCATGTAACAAATAATTCTGAGAGTCATATTAATAGCAGGGAAACCAAGATGTCTGCCAAAGTTCTCACAGGAAGCTAGTGGTAAAAGAAGGAATAAAAGCCAGACTTTCAGGGCACTAGCTAGGCATTCTGTGTGGTCTTCCACACTGCTTCTCCTTTGAACTTTTTCAATTCAAAAGCCAAAATACCATAGCTAAAATGCCACCAAGGACGTTGGCAGTATATACCCACATATGATCAATTTCCTTGGTCTTTCTTCTGACATTATCCAAACAACTATTGTCTTAGAGGGCAAGATGAATATTATGAGGATATAATGAAGTCAAACTCCTAAGAATCCCAAATTTTGTTTCTCAGCCTGTGTTCTAAATGATACCTACCATGGCCATCATCCAGGAATTCTGTGATGGTGGCTGAAGTGCATTTGGACCAGGGCTTAGACGCATCAATACTGGTAAGGATGGAGGACATTAAGCGCTTATCTTCTGTGGAACCAAAGGTCTCTTCACAGAATTTGGAATCGTCATGGGAGAGGCCAAGTAGATGTCCTAAGGGAGAGAATAGAGGAAGTGTAAATAATCCGTGATTGTGTATTTCTTTTTTCCCATGACTATTATGCTAGGGCTTGATTTTTTTTCCTAATTGTAGATGAGTTCACTTTAACTGCTTTCTCACCCAGAGACGGGACCTCCGGGGAAATAACAGTTGCATGGAGTTAGTGTAGCAGTTGCTTTTGCTGAACATTTCGATGGAAACTGAAAAACTAAAGAGTAGATGTTCCCATAATTCATCTGGATCACATATGCTTAATGACATGTGGAAACAAAGCCTTATTTAGAATTAGAGTTTGCGAGACAATTGTGGGATTATGTCATAGCCCTCACCACATATCATTTGGATTGTCTAATTTTCTGCCTTCTCTGATCAAGCCCCATGAGATCAAAGTGCATTTGCTCCCATATACTGTTGAAACCTCTGTATTGAACTTAGTGCTGTGCAAGTTGCAAACACTTAATAGATGGTTTTTGAATGTCAGTGACTTATTTTCTTAGTCAAGTAAATAGGTGGCTAATAAAAGGGAGGACTAGGGGAGACAAAGAAAGATAAGTGAAATGAGGAACTTTCCTGTTTCATGCACACCTAAGCTTGCTTCATCCGTTCATTTCTTTTGGTGATTTAGAGAGTTATGAGTTTACTGTTGTCACAAACATACAGCTTATTTTGAAAACATACCCATTTACATTTTAAAATGTCTAAAATACCAATAACATGGAGTTTGAGAACTTGAAGAAAGGACACCTGGGTTTCCCCAGTGATTGCTGTGATTGTTCAAAACCACTCAGCCAGGTAATATTTGTGCTTAAGCCTCTCAAACATGTTCTCTGCAGTTCCAGTCAAGCTAGATATTATTTTACAGAGCCCATAATCACATTCTTATAATCCAAGTAAATTGCTTTTTATTACATAAGATCAATTTTCATGCAGTCTAAGGATAAAATGATATTCCCCAACAAATTTACAATGCTATTTAAAACATCTAGGACAGTAGTTTGAGCAATTACATACTCTAAAAAGTAGACAGCAAATCATCCTAGGGTAGTGTTTTTAACAAAGCTTTCTAGAATCATACACAAACCACTAAAATAAATGCAGGAAACACTGTAGCAAATTGGCGACTACATTCTCCTTGGGTTCTTGAATGCCAAAAGCAGAAAACTTTGGCCATTCTAGCAACAGAGTCCAGTGTGCACCAATAAAACCCAACAGAGATGAAATCTTTCACTTTAGATTCCGACTACTTTGGGCCAACTTGTTAAATCACCAACACCTCATAACAAAATTGGCCACTGAGCAACTGATTGCTGTTATGGATGAAAATAAATGGCTAGGGCTTGGTGACCTTCCAAGTCTCCACATTTTTATGTTATTTATTCAGATATTTACTTCAACAGTATTTACTAGGCTAACATGTTTTCTCTGGGAAGTTCTCCCACCATCACTTAACATTTTGTTTGTTCAGTAGCATAAATGTGCATTATAGTCTATACATAAAGTATGTCCCAACTAACTTGCAAAGGAAATTAGCAGCGGCTCATCTAATTTTTGAGTGGTTTGTTAAGCTTTTCAAGAAACTCACAGCTCACAGGAAAAAAAAAAAAAAAAAAAGAAAAGAAAACCAGAATCTTTCATTCATATATTATTAGAAACGACTTAAAGTTACTTAGTACATGAAATACTTGTTGATAATGCACTCTACACTTCCTGAACTTTTCCGAGATAGAAGATTTATCAGTTAACACTGAGGGATATGGGTGGGAATTTCACACTTGAGTTTTTTCCTCTGGCATAAGAGAGAAGAAAAGTGTCCCCAAGTGACCTCTGCAACAAAATATTTATTTGAATCCAGGTTTTATACTTAAAAACTGTGACTTATGCATTCTACTTCATATGATATTTATATTTATTTAATAGAGTAATTGTCTTTTCCTCCAAATCCATATAAATACATAGCACTTTCCATATGCCTTTTTATTATTGTATCAAGAGATTTTCACTTCATTTGGAGGGTAGATTTTAGAATTCTGATTTAAAATATAGGAAACACGGCAGACACAAAATTCACTTTGAAGGGCCTGAGAAAGTACCTACATTTTGTCTTTCAAACTGAGAGGTGAAGCATATAATTTTAAAGGGTTCAATTATGTAAGCAAGTCAATTTAATTTTTAAATATTTTGGCATCATTTATGAATCTTTCGGAATGCTCGTTAATATAATATTATGACTTTTATGCTCCCCAAATTGACTCATTTTACACTGAAACTTAATTGCCACTGAAGATGCATAAAAGAAATTATACTGGAAAAAACTGCCATTCAAGCATGAACACGTCTTCATTTCACCTCAGCAAGGGGATGTGAATTTTGTAAGATCTCCAAAAGTCAGGCCGAAGCAGACTGCTTAGAGTCAACAGAAAGAGATGGACTCTTTTGAGGGCGAATGAACATTCTGTCCTCTATGAAGAAAGCCTGTCAGCTGTCTGGGAGAGGCATGCTCTCTCAAGGGCAGCGAGAGTCCTGCGCAATGTGAAGAACACTTAAGCACCCAAAGTAATAGGCAGCCAGTTCCAGCGTAGCTGGAACCAGGGCATGCCGAAAGAACCATGTGACTTCCCTTCAGGAGCTGGACAGGATATGAAAGGGAAGATCAATGTGAGGGATGTTTGGATGCTCTTCAGGAAAGACGTGACACACATTCTAAAGGCTGCAAACAGCCAAAGGAGTGGTATTTTCTAATTCGAGCCCTCCAATCAATTATGCTAAGACATTTACTGTTAGCTGAAATCAGCCTTGAAAAAGCAAAAGTATACAAAAGTATAAGCAATTTTAAAGGAGTGCTCACGGTAAAGACGGCACGCTATGATACTGAAAGCTAACTTACTAGAGAAAATCCAGAATCCAGGGAATTTAAAATACAATGTCACAGCTGACAACTGGGTATTTCAAGTAGGGATTGTGAAGGGGAATTGGAAAAGCTAATGGCTTTGAAGACATCTGCCTTTTCAGGAAGAGGTTGTTCATAAATCATTCACAGAGATGTTTAAAATGAATGGTGTGGTTTGGAGATTAAGCATTTCTTGGACAAGCAGACCCCAGGAGCATTAGCAGCAGATAGGATTAGATATCCCTGTCCCAGAGAGTAAAACAGCACATGAAGAATATAAAAGAGTGTGGAGAAAATGTGTACAATGCCAAAACTAGTTTGTTGTTTACATCAAATTGTATTACATGATGAGTTTTTAAAGCAATACAAAGCAACAGAGTTAGTTGCGGGTGAGGTTTTAGAGGAGGCGGGGGATAAAATCGAGAAATCCACATAGAATGGCAATCCTTACCCTTGGAGAAGGGAAAGATTTCTTTTTGGAGAGTCAGAGTGCTGCAAGAGAAGGGTGGGGAGGCCTCAAAGCCATTTTGACAAAGATTTGAGAAAGCTCCCTCAGTAAAATAGGACGTGAAACTCCTAGCGAGACAAAAGGCAGAGGTGGGTTCAGAGGTAACTATCTGCTGTCAGGATTTAAAGCAGAGGTAGTGAAGTCTTGCTTTAGGGAAGAGTTAGTATTTGTGTTTAGGACCATTTATAATCAGCAGACATGCAAAAGATCGAAAAGCAGCTTGCCTGAGCAATTTTGTTTACAATACTATCTTTCTCAGTTATCCTTAATTCTTGATGATGTAATTGGAAGCTTTTCACCTAAAACCCTGAGGCAATTAAGGACCAAACACACTTGTGTAATAGATGCCCTTATTAATGGCCTCTGTATTTATATGCTAAATAAGGTTTTAACTGGGTAGGGGAGACAGAAGCCAGAGTGAAATTCAGAGAATAATGCAATTGTCTAATCCACGAGTATTTTCCAAGTGGTGCATGCTTCAGAACTGTATTTTTTTTTTTTTTTTGAGATGGAGTTTCTCTCTTGCTGTCCAGGCTGGAGTGCAATGGCAAGATCTCAGCTCACTGCAATCTCCACCTCCTGGGTTCGAGCGATTCTCCTGCCTCAGCCTTCTGAGTAACTGGCGTAACAGGTGCACACCACCATGCCCAGTTAACTTTTTGCATTTTCAGTAGAGACGGGGTTTCACCATGTTGGCCGGGCTGGTTTCGAACTCCTGATCTCAGTTGATCCACCCGTCTTGGCCTCCCAAAGTGCTGGGATTACAAGTGTGAGCCACTGCGCCCGGCCAGAACTGTATTTTGCTGTTTGAAATAATTAGTAAAAGCTAAGGTGTAAATTGTGTTAGATGATGTTGACCTATTCTTAATAGATGTTAAATCCTGTCTTAAATACAACAATCATGCTGAGTGTCTGTCAGCAAGTAACACCAGAAAGGAGTTTATTTGAATTAATCTAAGAAAATAAATATAATGATAAATTATGTCAGAATAAAGTCTATAGGGCTGAGAGTTTGAGTTACGTTGTTAGCTCAGATATAGCAAACAAATTGTCACCTGATAACTTTCCTGGTATGAAAATCCTCTTTTTGAATTGGCAAAGGGGTAACATTTTGTAAAATAAATGTCATCTTTGATATTCCCAATACAGATTTAAAGAACACCTTGCTTTCTTGAATTCACAAGGGAATCTGGTGTCAGAAAATCTGTGATAATGTGTAGCCAGATGAAGACACATCATTTTAAAGGAAACTGTTGGTTCAGCTTCTTATTCAACCCAGGTATTACTGTACAACTAGAGCTGACTTATAACATTAACCTCAGGAAGGAAATTGTTTGTTTTTCTAAACTTTGGTCTGCAAATTAAACAGAATTTCAAGCTCTTGTCTCCTGATCCCAAACTGACCAATGGTCAAGGGGACACAGTACCACATCCTGAAAAAATGTCACAAGAAGCTCTGTAATGTGTTTATTTGGGAAAGCACTGCTCCGATGAAGCATCTGTTTCTTAATGAGGTCATGTTTTTACTTTACCTAATTTTCCAGCTGGGATTATGGAGGTGCAAGGTCTTGCCAGGGGTTGAAAAGTGAGTCAACTGC